CTTGAGGCGAGCATTCTCCTCAACCGTCAAATCAACAATAAGCGGTAAATGGGCAAGCTGACTGAATGCCTGAAAAAAGAAGCGCATAAGTAACAACTAAGCTGTATTTTAATTGACGATAATCTACTCTTTTTCTAGCAAATTATACAATTACCTAAGCGATATTGAAGTGTTAAGTGTGTTTAAATGCGCTAAGCGTAAATCGTTGATCGAGCTTATTTTTATTAAGAATCTACTTTGATTAATTGTGGGGTGTTGAATTGCTAACGCCGGGTTGAACTGCGTCGAGAAGTTATCCTCTCAGAATAAATTGCGTTGTTAACCGACGCTTATCACATTTTATCTTCGTCGAATACGCTGCACACCCAACTATGGTCTCACACCGTCTCTGCGATTATGTAACAATACACAACGGCCTCAGTACATTGTCACACACACACACACACACACACACACACTCACAAACACACACACAAACATACACACATATATGTATATATACGTCTTAGACATTCTTACTGTATCATGCACAAATAGCAGTAGGATTCCCAGTGCCGAATTATTTCCATGCAAAAAATAAAAAATAAAAAGTACCTTGAAAGCCATAAATTTATGATAGGGTTTCGGAGCCCATGCATAAATTTCGATTGTACCTTCAAGGCCGACCACGAGGAATTTGATCCGCTCATATCGTACAATCTTGAAATGAACCGCACCTTGCAAATCACCCACATTCACCCAGCCATTTCGTTTCTCCAGCTAAAAGCACAAAAATGAAATTCAGCTACTCACTATGTAAAAATGATGTTAGAAATAACTACGAATAAACACGTTTCTAATATGGTCGAAGTTTTGCCGTATATGCGCGCGAAGGGGAAGTGTCCTTTTACGCTGACCGGACGCACGAATATACCTCAAACGAAAAGAGGAAAGTCGAAAAATAAGTATATGAAAGCAAAAAATTTGCCAAGACGAGTGCAAAGTATGCGCAATTTTACAGAAATCGGGCTTTAATTAACTTACTAAGCACAACATTTATCTAAAATGTTCGAAAATTTTGCCATAATAACACAAAACCATCAAGACAGTGCGAAATTGTATTAAAGTCGGAAATAAAAGGTTCAATGAAAAAGGAACTTAGCACCAAAAAACTAAAAAAAAAAACAGTTGAGGAAACAAAAGCATAAAAACAACAGGACTTATTTCACTGCAAAATCAAAATGTGCATTCCGGCATAAACCTGCACTAATGATTTACATCATTATTAGCGTGTAGGACGGTAAAAACGGAGAGGAGAATAGAAGAAACCGAAAAATGACTGGCAAAACAACACTCTAACAGAACGAAACATGACTTACCTCAACCCCACTAACACCTTCAGTTCGAAGGATTTTCTGTTTGAGCCACGACAAATAGTATACACGTATCCGCCGCTTTCGTCCGCTTATTGTTACAAGTATATTTTGGCCCTCCAGCACTGCCATTTGCTCAAAACGTCGCCGCGTTATTAGTTGATAAACTGCAAAAAAGCTCACTAATCAAAAATAGCCCAAATTTAACGGTTTTTCAACCGCAAACGTAGACAGAACTCCAATGAACAATTAGCACTACTGCCATGCAAATTGTCGAAAATTCAACTTTTAATCCCTGTGCAACTCATTCACTTGTTTCGGAAATAAGCTGATGCTGGTGCAAGGCAAAAGTCGGGAACAGTAGTCAGCTTGTTCGTAAGCATCT